AACATAACATAATAAAATAAATAAAAAATAAAAAAATAATAAAGCTACCCTACAACCGAGCAATTGCACTACTAGGTATTTACCCCAAAGATACAGATGTAGTGAAAAGAAGGGGCACATGCACCCCAATGTTCATACCAGCAATGTCCACAATAGCCAAACTGTGGAAGGAGCCGAGAGGTCCTTCAACAGATGAATGGATAAAGAAGCTGTGGTACATATATAAAATGGAATATTACTCAGCCATCAGAAAGGATGAATACCCACCATTTGCATCGACATGGATGGGACTGGAGGGGATTATGCTAAGTGAAATAAGTCAAACAGAGAAAGAATTATCATATGGTTTCACTCATATGTGGAACATAGGCAATTGCATGGAGGACTACAGGGGAAGGGAGGGAAATCTGAAGGGGGAGAAATCAGAGAGGGAGACGAACCATGAGAGACTATGGACCCTGGGAAATGAACTGAGGGTCTCAGAAGGGGGGGGTATGGGGTAGCTGGGTGATGGGCATTAAGGAGGGCCCGTGTTGTGATGAGAACTGGGTGTTATATGCAACTAATGAATCATTGAACACTACATCAAAAACGAATGTTGTACTATACAGTGGCTAACTGAACATAATTTTTAAAAAAGTCAATGACAAGGAGAAAATCTTGAAAGTAGCAAGAGAGAGGCTAATTATCATGTATAGGGATCCTCAATAAAATTAATAGCTAATTTCTCATCAGGAACCATGGAGTCCAGAAGGCAATGGAAAGATACATTGAAAGTGCTGAGGGAAAAAAAAAAACCCAGCCCAGACACACTTGAAAATAGTTGAATCTATATGTAGGAATGGCCTTCAATTGGAATGATTGCTGAGGGTAGTTAGATTACCGTTGAACTCCCCTTTTTACTACCAGAATCTGTTCAGCCTAAAAACCTGTCAATGGATATATCCCAAGGAAACACCCAGCATCTTATTGGCATACCAACATTTAAAAAATAATCTAGCGCTGTGAATTGTGTAAGACTGTTGAATCGCAGACCTGTACCTCTGAAACAAATAATACATTATATGTTAAAAAAAAGAAGATAGTAGGAAGGGAAAAATGAAGGGGGGGAAATCGGAGGGGGAGACAAACCATGAGAGACTATGGACTCTGAGAAACAAACTGAGGGTTCTAGAGGGGAGGGGGTGGGGGGATGGGTTAGCCTGGTGATGGGTATTAAAGAGGGCACATATTGAATGGAGCACTGGGTGTTATACACAAACAATGAATCATGGAACACTACATCAAAAACTAATGATGTAATGTATGGTGATTAACATAGCATAATAAAATTTTAAAAAAAATAACCTAGTGTATGGGGTGCTTGGATGGCTCAGATGGTTGAGTGTCTGCCTTCGGCGCGGGTCATGATCTCCAGGTCCTGGGATCGAGCCCCATGTCAGGCTCCCAGCTCAGCGGGGAGTCTTCTTCTCCCTCTCCCTCTGCCTCTCCCCCTGCTTATGCTCTCTCTGTCTCTCTCTCTCAAATAAATAAATAAAATCTTTTAAAAAAAAATCTAGTGTATAGAAAGTTTGGATTTCTACCAACCCCTAAAAAGTCTTTTTAGTTGTTCTTAACAGCTAATAACTCTAATTTATTACACATGCTTATATCTACCAGTTTCTTGCGCTCTCTCTTAAATAAGTAAGAAAATAAAATCTTAAAAAAAAAAAATATGAGTTTTTCTGAGTCTAGACGAGTGAATCACTTAAGGGACCACCGTCAAAAAAGAGAAGTGTCAAGAAGATTACTGGTTCCAAGCCGAAGATGAGTTCAGTTGTAGACAATTAATTTGAGATAGGCAAAACACCCAACTAGGGAATTTCAAGCAGCATCGGAGGATGAAGGATTGAAGTCAGGGCCAGAGATGTAGACAATAGTTGAAATCTTGTGGATTCGCTGCAGGAGAAAAGGGCAAAATGAGAACAATAGATGGTCACTGATGGGCCACATTTAGGAAGCCAGAAGAAGAATCAGTGAAGGACAAAGAAGGAACAATCTGGAAGACAGAGGAGGTCAGTGTCAAAGATAGGGGAAAAGCTAATTCCTCTGGAAAGGGGTAGGCACATAGGTAGATGTTAGAGACCAAGGTGAACATAAACTAAAAAAAAAAACAATCACTGGCAACTCTTGATAATCATACTCTAAAAGGCATACTAGGATTTTTAAATTCATGTTTTACTCATTTGTATGAAGCTTACAACATTCTCATCTCCTGAACTGACATTTTCTGCCATCTCTGATTAGGAATCACGTTGAACAAAGGCCATAGAATCATTATCGGCGCGGGAACAAAGTAAAGGACATCACCTGAACAACTGAATAAAGCTCTAAGAAAACTTCAGCTCCTATGGAAACTCTAAACCTATGCATTCATTCAACAAACATGATTTGAGGGTCCACTGTGTGCCAGGCACTGGCCTGGGCACTGGACACACTGTGGTGAGTGAGACTTGGACCTGGCCCCTTGAAGCTTAATACTACACCATTTTCACACTACTCAAAGAGAGGGGAGCTGGCAAGATTATATAAAATTTTAGATCAGCACTAAGGGCCCATATGTATAAAATATACAGGCAACTTTTGTAACACAAATATAAATAATTTATTTCAATAATTACATCAATTGCTCATGGAGGATCCAGTTTTGTGGTTTACTCAAATACAAAGTGAGTAGGCACTTTTGAACTTTTAGTCTCAATTGGCATGATTATGTCTTAAGCATATGTGTTAACCTTATGGAAAATAAATCAGTTACTATTTTGAGGGTGGGGTAGGGTGGACCAGGAAAGAAATACAAAGAAAGGAGAAGCGTGAGTCCCTGAAGAGTTCTAAGATGGGGAGAGGGTGATAAACCACCAGCATATGTGAGTGGTTGGGATGCATAAATGGAAATACCGTGTGGAAACTGGAGTTATAGAAAAGAGTGTGTAGACAGAGTTCTGTGCAAAGTAATTGTTCAGAGCATTTATGCTGACAGTCTGTAGCATGAGGAAGTAAGTTGTTTCTGGTCACGTGGTGTTCCATAAATAAGGTTAATTTTGTCCCAGCTTTAAGTTGCAAGCTTGCAATTAGACCATGTTTCAAAAGTTTGCATAAATCAATTGTTTGGCACTAGAGCACAATTTATTGCAGAAGCAACGGAGTAAGTCTTCAGTTTGTAGCTGGGGCAAAGTTTGAGGGAACTCACATTTGTGTGTGTCATCTCTTACGTGCATCTTCAATTTGTTCCCACCACCATCTATCACTGCATTTTACTCAAGAGGACACTGAAGCCCAGAGAATAAAAGTAACTTGTCCAGGGTCAGCTTGCAAGCAGCAGAATAGAAGGCAAACTACCATTTGCTCAGTGCATCTAGCTAGATAAAAATGTTTCTTAAAAAATATGAACCAAAGGCCACCCATATGAGACTCACCAGGATGGGCAGAACACTCAGTTGGAGAATTCAATCGGAAACCCCAGTAGATATTCAAACGCAGATTCCTGGGCTCTCCCTACTGAATCAGACACTGAAGGCAGGGCTCCAAGAATCTCTGGGTTCACAAGCTTCTCTGGTGATTGTTCTAAATGGGGAAATTTGAGAACTATGAAAAGGGTTTAGGAAAAAAACACGAGGTAGAGTAAATTTACACAAGGTTTTTGTTGGCTAATTGCATCCATTTTAAAAAGAGGACGATGATGATGAATAACTGCAAGTAATTCCTAATAGATACAATTTAAGGTGTCTTATTGACTTTATTCCCTCTGCTGCATCAGTAGTATATGTGTGGGGGAGACTTTCTCTGAGGTCCGCTTTCCAGCCTGTTTTCAACTTCCTTCCTTTCTTCCTTTCTTCCACTTCCGGACCCAGAGACTCTCTCAAACAGCTCAGCTGGGTTTGGTGTCACTGCCAATCCTCTAAGAACTCCCAGTGATGGGGTAGGAAGAGTGGCAGGGCCAGCTGTGGGTCGTTTGTAAGTCAGGAGTTCTGGATTCCCTGGCTGTGGGGATATTTGTCCTCGTTTTCAGGCAACTCTATGATATTTTCCCCAGAATCTCCTGGATACAATGCACATTGGCACTTAAAGCCACTTTGGATGTGAAAACCTGAATGATAATGGCCAGTAATCAAAGATACCTCAGGAAATACGCTATCACCACCGTGACCGCTACAGTGGGGAGACGTGGTAAACCCCGGTTATATTTGAATGTTGTTTTGTGATAAACAGATAAATAGAGTTCACACTGATGCAAAAACTGTTCCATCATCTGTGTAAGTGTGTGTGTGTGTGTGTGTGTGTGTGTGTCCAGACCTCTGCTTTCCCCAGTATCTCCTGCCACAACTGCCCCTCACCTTGCCTCAGTCCCACACATCAATTTTCTCTCTCATTTCTGTCTCGGGATTAAGTATTACTGACAGGGTTGGCGGGAATGAGTTAGCCACAGTGAATCCAGATGCCAAGGCAACCTCTAAAAACCCATACAGGTCAGGGCCAAGAACTGGAGCCTCAGGGTTAATGATTTGGCATTTTCCCAAGTCTGAAGTTCTAAGTGCTTTTCCAAATGCTGCCGAGGGCTTCTATTGCAGCAGCGGGTCCCTGCCCCGCCAGGGCTGAGGTCAGCACCTTGGGTGAAACGGCCCCTCCTTGGTTTCTGACAGACATTAGCCCTTGGAGAGAATTCAGGTTCCCTGGGGGTGGTCTCAGGACCCCAGGCCCCTCGTAATCAATTCTGCCTCCCCTTCTGCGGATTCTCCTCTCCAAGGTTGTCTGCTGGCCTGACCCATCGGGACGTTGGCAGGAACTGCGGAGTCAGGAAATAAGGGTTGGGTGGGAATTGTAGTTCTTTTAAAAATAAATGGTACACACTGAAAGAGGGGCCTTAAAGATAATTTGATTCAGCATACTCTGTGCTCAAATTGGAAAAAAAAGAGACGTAGGGCTTTTCTTAATGCTGTTTATTACCAAATAACTCAAGTGTTGTTCAAGCAACAGACATTTTCCATAAAAGAACATTCCTTGATAAGCACCCACAAACACGTTTAGCTCTAAAGGTTTGTACCCATAGAGAAGAAAAAAAGCTACTCCCTCTGGGGTTGAGGGGGAGAGGGTAACCTAATAAAACCGTCATTTATATTTAGAATGTACATTTATCCCACAGGCCAACCAGAGGATAGAGGTCATCTAAGGATGTGCTCAAGATAGAAGCCACTCTATTGCCAAGTTCCCGTGGTTCACTCCCAATCTCTGGGGATAAGAGAGGACGAGTGATTTAGTGTCATTCTGGAACTGACCCAGAGCTAAATGCGCTATTCCATATCTTGCTTGTCCTTTTGTTATAATTTGGATCCACAGTAATAATACCTGTAGCTAATATTTACCAGTCTCATAGAAACACTGCCCTAGATCCTTTACTTGATTACTTGTTTTGTGTTTGCAGTAGCCCTGGGAGGCAGGTACCACCATTTTTTCATTTCGTAGATAAACTGAGGCACAGAGGTGCCTGGATCACACTGATGGTACTCTGTTCATCTTTTGTTGCAGAGCGGATTATCTTAAAACGTAATGGCTTAAAACCCTATTAATCACTTTATTCTTACCTCTCATGGTTCCAGAGGTCGACTGCACTCAGCGAGGCGGTTCTCACTTCGGGATTCTCGCTCGGGGTCTCCCATGCAGTTGCAGTCAGATAGTGGCTGTGGCTGGAGTCATCTCGTGTCCTGTCATGTTTCCTCATTCGTGTGTCTGCTGGCTAGGATCCAAGATGGGGCTGTCATCAAGAACCCCACACATGACCTCTCCACGTGGCTTGGACTTCCCCCATTGCATCCCAGCTGGGCTCTAAAAGCAAGCATCTGTAGAGGACAGGTAAAAGCTGTATTGCCTTTAAACTGGTTTTTTTTTTTTCCAGTTAATTATAGACTTAATAGGAAATTGAAATACAGTTATAGAGTTCCATGAACCCTTCATTCAGCTTCCCCTAATAGTGTGGTCTTCTATAACTGTAGACCAGTATTATAACCAGGAAATTGACATTTGCCCAATGCTACAAAACTAGGTTGTGAATTTATTCTGTTTTACCAGTTTTTACAGGCACTCATTTGTGTGTTTTTGTGTGTGCGTGTCTATGTTCTGTGCAATTTGATTCCCTGTTAAGATATATATAATCATCACAATCAACACAAAAAACGGTTCCCTAAAAGGACTCCTTCATGCTATCCCTTTAGAGTTTCTCCCACCTCTCCCCAGCCCCGTAGTTGTCCCCTAGCAACCACTGAACAGTTCTCCATCTCTATAGTTTTATCATTTTAAGAAAGTTACATAAATGAAATTATATAGTTGTAAACTCTTGAGATTGGCTTCTTCACTACACCTCAAGCCCTTTAGATCCATCCAACTGTGCGTGCATCAATAGTTGATTCCTTTTATTGCTGAATAATAGTCCGTGTGTGCCTTTAAGACCTGGTCTTGGAAGTCACACAATTTCACTTCTATAATAATTACAGTCCTGTCCAGATTCAAGGGGAGAAATGCACCCCCTCCCCACCTTGATGAGAGTAGCATTGATATCCCTTTCTAAGAAAGACCATGAGGGACAGGAGAGCTGTTGTTGCCACCTGGGAAAATACAGCCCTCGACAGATGGTTAAGCAGCAAAGGTAGAATTCAAACCCAGATACTTTGATTCTAGAGCCCCTATTTTTAGGGTGACAACCTGTGTGTTCTTGCCACAACAATGGGAATGAAATTATTGCAAAGTTAACTGAAGAATAGGGCTATAAATATTTCTTAAATACACAACATTAATTTTATTTAATTTAAAGAATTTGGAGATAAATAGGAGAGGGTTGGCAAAATCAGAATCCTACATGTTTACTGAGGAAAAGTGGTGGGAAATGTTTAGTTAAGCAGCCTGGATGTAAAAAGACAGATCTTATCATTCCTTTTTCAGTCTATGGAACTTCTGACCTCTTACCTCTCTGTTTACTAGAAATACTCCATGAGTGTTTACTACTCAGGAAGATCTCCATACCCACTGAAGTTGGAACCACACTTTTATTCTACAGATTTCCTAAAGGGTTCTATCTTTGCTACATGGATTATCCAGGATGCTTTACTAATAGAAAAATTCTGGAACCACAGCCTTGCTACTACCCCAGATAAGTCGATCCTCCATCCACCATGGGGCCTCTCTAGCCCATAGGCACCTTCCATAGTGAATTGGAAAAAGACACCCTTTCCACTGGGCAGATACATCTCATGACTTAACCTCTGTTGCTCCAAAATAATAGAAAACATGTGTTGGTCTGTGCCCCCAGTTCTTGGCACAGAGCTCTTAAAACTTCGTAATTTCATAAATGAAAAGAACACTAGGAGCATCTTTTGTTCTAATTCTGGTCTTTGATCCTGGATCCTGACATGGAGCTCTTAAATTCCCTGGGATTTCCAGGATGGTAAGAGTGCCTTTTGTTCTAACCAGGCAACTTTGCTTGGGCTCCTGTATGGCACTGGTGCCCAGAAAGACCAAGCCAGGATCAGCCAGGATCAGCAGCTTGGAACCTTCAGCTCCATCCCCCATTTTCTGGAGAGCGGCTGCAAATTGAGTCAAGGGTCGGTCAGGCTTACCTGATGAAGCCTCCATAAAAATCCCCAAAGTATAGCATTTCGGAGCTTCTGAATTAATGAACAGGTAGAGATTTGGGGAGAGTGGTGGTCTCAGAGAAGTCATGGAAGCTCCCCGGCCCTCCCCACATAACCTACCCTAGGCATCTCTTGCAGCTGTCTGTTCCTGAGTTATAGCTAGTAAACTAGCAAATTAATTGAACTCAAGGAGGGGCTCATGGATTTACAGCCAGCTGGTCAGAAGCACGGGTAGCAACTTGTGACTGGCATCTGAAGTGGGAGCAGTCTTGTGAGACTGAGCCTTTAGCCTATGAGACCTAACCCTGTTTCTAGGTAGGTAGTATCGGACTTAGGTTAAATTTGTGGGACACTTGGTCAGTGTCTGCTGAGAATTGGAGAATTGCTTAGTGGTGTGGGGGTGGGGGGAACGCCACATACTAGAGTGGCATTCACCAAAGCTCAACTCACAATCCTGGTAGCCCTGCCACTCAACATTTTTTCCATTGGTTCCATAAACACTGGAGTGCCTACCATGAGACAAGAATTTCGCCAGTTGCTAGAGGTCCAAGAGCATTCACACTGCCCATAAGGAGCTTGTAGACTGCAGGAGAAGCAAGCCAAGTAAGCGGAGAATACAACATGATATCGTAAGTATTGACAGACATGACCTGGAGGCCTCAGGGGGAAGCATAAACCTGACTAGAGGTGGGGAAATGGCTCTCAGGGAACGCTTCCCAAACAGTGAGTTCCCTGAGCTGAATTTTGAAGTTTAAGTTCTGGCAAACAGGACTTAGCCAAGGGAATGGGGGTGAAGAGAGAGAATGGGAAGCAGTGACCCTGGAAGTGGGCAGGGGTCACATAATGGGACTCAGGGCCACTGTTAGCTCTACAGAGGCTTTCGTACAATTTTAGAAAACAGCCTCCCTGCCCCCTGAAATGCCGTAGAGAA